ATGAGTTGTTAACCCTTAGGCTCGGTATTATGGATATCGCAACCTTTCGGCCTTGATTCCATTGTAAATACCGTAAATCTGGGAGAAAATGTGGCTTTCCTGCCTACCCCCGGGATTGAACCCGGACCACAAGGAGTACGTCACCTGGTCTCCGCGAAATCCGGTTTAGCCAATTCCGCTAGAGAGCCGGGCGGACTTTTTTTTAAAGTGACCTTGGCTCCCAGGTAGACCCAGCTTTGAGTGGGTACAAGGTGCAGTCCTTGGAAGTAAAAGCGGCCGGCTTGATGCTGACCAAATCACCCATCTTGTGCCGATTGGTCTATAAAAATATAGGTCCAGCCCTATCTGCCTAAAGGCGTGGAAAAGGGACCTTTACTTTACTTTACTTTGGGTTCATGATTAAAGGAATAAGACTTTTGTTGTGATACTGACATTATCCATTAAGTGTCACTGTGTGGAAAACACAAACATAGCAACAAAACTATTGCAAACTGACATAGAAATATGAGTTCTGTAATTTTTTATAATGGGGTTGGATAATCGACTTCTCATCTAAAATGGAGGACTAGGCTTCGCAGAATGTAGAGCATTAAAGTTATTTTTGCTTCTGACAGTGCTTTGCTAATGCAGTTTCCACAGGTGGACAGTAGTCTACAGTTTCGCTGACTGAGCTACTGAGTTTAGTACTTGGTGCAGCCCTGTGAGCTGTGTTTTTTCATGTGGAATGCCTTTTATTTGTACAGCAGTTTAGCTGTTTTATTCAATATATGGCCGGTAGCTCTTTTTCGTATGGACTGATGACATACCTTATGTAATAATTCAACATGTGTATAGCCAACCTATCTTGCCCGACTACTTCTATCAACAACAAACTGCAATTTTGGTGGTGACTGTTAGCTTTGGTGCCTCTTGCATCTGCTATATGCATTTATTGTGTGCATTTCTGGATTGCACTGGGACTAATTGTTTGTTCACCAGTTTTTCAGATGAGACAGTGAGGGACATTTCATTTGATTTTCACTGGCACAGGAACGGAGCAACTATGGGGTGGCCTGATTGCAGTGAATTTGAAACCTCAACTAAGACTAAGACTTAATTATAAAACTCTTTCAGTATAAGGTTTCATATTGTATGTGCAAACAGAGAAATTTTTTGTTTTATTTTTGTCCCCTATATCTCCCAAAGTAATAGACTGCAGTGGTAGGGGCAAAACACAAACACACCATAAGAAATATTCCAAATTGATATAGAATTAGATTGCTGTTCTTATTTATAACTCTTTCAGTAAAAGATTTCATACTGTATGCACACAAAGAGAAATTTTTCTTGTTATTATTATTTTTTTTCCCTGCATCTCCCACTGTAATAGCTGGGGCATATAGAAATAATGACAGGTAACAGAGAGACAAAATATGTGCACACAAAAGAGTTCAATGAGAGTAGACCACAAGGCAGACCAAGAAGACAGTGGATAGATAACATCTAGGCACACCTACAAAGACTTGGGAGTCGCCAGTAAAGCGTAAATACTCAAACATCTCTTGCAAAGAGACATGTTTCACAGATTAACTGGATTTTGAAGTTAAAGTTTTCTATGGGATAAAGTTGTCTCTCTTATGCTGATCCCCCCTAATCACCTTTTACAACATGTGTTTTAAGCAGACTATTTTGTTTCCCTTATGAGAGTACAACACAAGGGCAAAAAGATAAATAATCACTATGAAAAAACTGCAGAAGTGTTACTTTCAAAGAGTCTAAATTCACAACAGAAGTGGCAACCAACAGAAATGCTATACATAGATATAAAAGGAGTACTAGTTAGTTAGTTATTACAGGTCCCGCATCACAGCAAACGAGCTTGGCCCATAATTACTCAACCACCTATGCCAGTGATTCCAGTCACAAACTGAGTCAGATATGCTGGATACTTCAAGTGAATGCTGTAGCCATACAAAGTGTCCTCAGTCAGTAAAACACACACGATTTGATCTGGCAAACCATCATGTCTCCTTAAACACACTGCGAGACCAGGCGTCATCACTAAAAATCAACTTCATTGGATGAATAGTTGGACGATGAGTAGATTAAAACTATTCCTGACCATTCTCCACATGTCCTCGGCCAAGATGCAGCCACTGCCCGCAAGTAAATAGCACATGCCTTGTCCCAGGAACACAATGAAGAAAAATACATCACCCATCTGAGGTTTTGCTGACACGCCACAGACAGCAAAGTGGTGTCATCATAAGTTTTTTTTAACCCTCTCATAAAAATTGATTTTTTTCCATCAAAAATAATATATCAAACAAAATATTTGTGTAAATATAATCATGCCTACAATGTATACACATTGTTCAGTTTTGAGCTTTACCAAAGCTTTCCTAAGGTATACTGGCCACTTCTCAAAGATGTCATGTCAACAAAAAGCTCTAAAAGCTGGAAAACCAGTTTGCGGTTTAAAAATTCTGAAGATAAAACTATGATCTTTCAATTAGTACAACTTAGCATTGAAGAACATAGTCAGCGACTAACTTGTGCAGGTGAAATGGACTGAACTGTACTAAAGCACACACACAAATATAAAGATTGGAAAGTATTAAGTATACACTAGCTTTACAAAATACAGTTACAATAAATAATGGGCAAAGGTTGACAAGCCTTTAGTGGCATGTTACAAGAAATTAAACATTTAAAAAAGTGAAGATGGCTTTGAAATAACTACACTAGAGCATTAAGATAATGCACATGGACATAAAAACCACACACAAGCACGTGCACATGCACACACACACACTCAAACACACACACACATACAGAGAAAGAAATAAAATAAATACAACTCCCCTGTGTGGGTACCGAGACCCACTTGTGGGGGAACAAAGATTGACCCACTGCCTTTCCTAACAAGCTTGTCACAACAGTTAACTAGTCGGGGGCTTCCATTCGAAGTCGCAGTGCATCTGCCTGAAAGGCAACAGACTGCTTACAAATAAAACAGATGTGCACTCAACATTCAGCTTCTGCATCTTTCAACTCCAACAGGACGACACAACAAGCAATAAGCATCCAGTGACACAAAGTGCCACCATTCAAATGAGAATTACCCGGGTACAAGTCCCAGAATTAGGGTCCGCGACTACAGCTAAGGTAAGGCAATATAAAACAAAATATTCTGTCCCATATTGGGATAAGGTTAATTCTGCAACAAGTAAGTCAGTTTTACCCCACCAGGGCATCACATCAAGCGATAAACACCCGATGACCAAAGTGCCCCCATGCGAATGAGGATCAGCTGTGGAGAGGTCAAAGAAACCGCATTCAACCGTTAGGTTATATTATAGCCCCTGGCAAAAGCCATGGTGGGGCTCCAAATAGTGAACAATTGCGTCCCACAAGGGAGCAACGCATATACTCTGCAACACTCTCTCTTTTTTGTTGTACCCCACCAGGACATTACACAAGTGATAAACACCCGGTGACACAAAGTGCTGCCATGCAGATGAGGATCACCCAGAAACCCCCGTTCAGTCGTTTGGCCATATTTATGGCTTGGCTATATTCAGGGCCCCCGGCAAAAGCCAGGGTTGGGCTTCAAATAACAAAAAATTTTACTGTACATACTTTACAAAACTAAAGTCCAGAAATGGATGAATAACCAGTAATTTCTGCTGGAGTTTACAACCGGTGAATACCAAGAAAAAAGAAGAAAAAGAATAAATCAAAGGATACAGAAATAGCTAAAATTTAACTCATGTGCTTCAGATCTTTAATTCCTAATTTAATCAATGCTTAAGTAGTCAATTTTGTATGAGTAGCCTTGTATCTGTTATATTTCTTTCTTTCTCCTAATGATCTTAATTTACCTCCCTTTAATGCGACCTAATGTCAATCAAAAGACTACCACAGGTAGACTAGTGTATTACACACTATGCTACCAGGGCTCTATAAGTTAGTTAGTTAGTTAGTTAGTTAGTTAGTTAGTTAGTTAGTTAGTTAGTTAGTTAGTTAGTTAGTTAGTTAGTTAGTTAGTTAGTTAGTCAACAGCTTATCCTCATTGCACCTCAAACTACTCAGTCCATAAGTGCTCGGATCCCCTCCTCAGTAAATCCTGCAGCGTGTAGCGGCCAACGACACCAGTTCTGTGATGATTTATTATTATTCTGTGGCTGCCCGCATAATGTTCTTGTTTGGGGACACCCCGTTTAACATATTGTTCTTGCAATCAGAGTTAGAAAGCTCTATAAATTAGTTATCTATATTGTTAGTTACTATAGACCAATTCAATCATTATCTTATAGCAGGTTCTTTGCAGAGTATCGCTCACATCACAGCTTGAAATTAACTGGGTCTCTCACCAGATTTCCTGCATCATGCACTTTCCTACCTAAAGCTTCACTTATATCTGGTGCCCATCTTCAATCATTTAGGCAAAAATTAGACAAATTAACTGCATCTCATCCATAGTTTTGAAACAGAAGACAAAGTTTAATAAAAATTTGTCAAAGGACATCCAAATTGTTTACACATATTTGGTTGGATATAATATATGAAATAAATATGACATTTTTTTTTTTTAAATCCAGTAGTCAGTTAGTTGTTGGCTCTGTGGCTAAGTTGATGCGAACGCTTTGTTGGATCCCAGCTGCGGGCCATGCGCATTGCGTTGGTTTTGACAGTGGTATCAAGAAAGCCGACTTCCAGAAAGCAATGGCAAACTACTGGATGTAAATTTGCCTAGAAAAACCACACAGCAGCCAGAGGCTGTTAGTGTTGGTTCTGCAACGTCCTGTAAAAAGTATATGCAACTGACCTAAGTCAGTTAGTTAAAATTTAAAAAACCACATAAAAAGGAAAAAAATTAAATGCTGTAGAGGTTTCAAGCTTATGAGGATAGCACACATTAATAATACAGATTGTCCAAAATGTTAGGAAAGCAGACCATATCACATCTATGTTGAAAGTTGTATGCTTTTATTTATACCTGTAAAAAATGCAGTGAATTACTTTGATCTCTTGTCACCCTTTCTGTAAAAGAATTAATAATTTTTGTAAATATTTTGAAAAATTAAATGAAATCCCTTATTTGGAAGTGCTGATTAGTTGTGATGTTATTAAGAAATAAAATTATATTTGGGCAAAAACTTCATTTACAAAAAAAAAATCTGATTTTGTTATGCATGGTATTGATATAAAAGAATAATCTAAATTTAAAAAGAAAACATGTGTTTGCATCTGAGACATGGATTATAAGCAGACAAGCTGAAAAACATGTGCTGGCAGTCAAAATGAAAAGAACCCAAAAATTATCAAGGAATGATAGAGAAGCAGATGAAGCATACATGAAGACAGCCTTATAAGAGGGAAATTAAGTCAAATCGTCCCCTTGTGGGATGCAATTTTTCGTTATTTGAAGCCCCATTCTGGCTTTTGCCGGGTGCCCTGAATATAGCTGGGCCACAAATGTGGTCATGATGGTTGAAAGGGGTTTCTGGGACCTCTCCACAGGTGATCCTCATCGGCATGGTGGCACTTCGTGTCACCGGGTGTTTATCGCTTATGTGATGTCCTGGTGGGGTATAACATTTAGACAGACAGTCAATGTTTTCTGGACGTTATCACAAAAAAG